AAAGATCTCCATCATAAGCGGATCTGCGTACGTGGGCCTTCAATGGCGGCTAAGGAGCCTCGGACGGTGTATGCTAACCGAACCATGGCTTATTGTTAGCAACAGTAGCCTCGGAATGATAGTGAGGGCCTCAGAACCCACGTCTGAAGTTGGGAAAATATGTCCTGATTTGATTAAGCTGGTCCCACCACTAAAATGCGGTGCCATGTGTCGCTTCCATCTACTGACCCGTAACAGGCCGAATTCCACCCAAAACTCATCCAGCTCCATTCAAAAATTAAGGGTGCATTTGATTTGATGATTTTGAGGTTGGTTTCAATTTTGCAAAATGATGAAAACATGTTTGGTCCGATATTTCTAAAAATGTATTTTCGAAAACGGTGGGTTAAATTTATAATATAAAACTCAAAAAGCATTTTTGACATTTTGAGGGTTTTCGATCAAAATTCTAAAAACACTTAAAATATGGAAAAGAAGTGTTTAATAAGAATTTATTTAAGTAAAACTTTAAAAATTAAAAAACTTAAAATATAAAATTCTAAATAATAAGATTTTAACTTTAAAAAAATAAAAATTTTGAAAATAAATAAATAATAAAAATATTAAAAAATACAATTATAAAAATTTCTGAAAAAAACATAAATTATATAAAAAACAATAGTCCAAGCTTTACATAAAAATTCTAAAGAAATATTTAAATGAACACAAATAAAAATATTTTGAGTTAACATCATTAATTTTTATTTTTATTTTCTATATTTTGAATTCAATTTATTATTTATTTTTATTTTACTTTTGTAAAGAGAAAAACATTGTAAAATTCATCAACTTTGAAATGTATATATTAATTGATAATATATTGACTTAAATTTATTTTATTTTTACTGAATAATCAAATTTCATGAAATAAAATGTTATAAAATAACTTTTCAAAATTTCAAACAAAACGTGTTTTCTAATTTTTTTTATTTTAAGAAATAATTTTTCAAAATGACAAATCAGCAACGTTTTTAACAATTTAAAAATTGACTCTCAAATCATGAAATTAAAAATAAAATGAAAATTGAAATACAAACCAAATGAACCTAAGATTTGAGAACCATGAATTTTTAAAAAATATTTGAAACCCAATTTTCTCAAGAGCTAAATATTATTGTGATTAATAGAAAAAGCTAGACAACATTTGTTTGACGTAACTTATTCGAAAATTATTTTTTTAAAATTCTATTTTAGTCACACATTTTTTTTCCAATAAAATAATTGTGTAACACTCTCAACTTTTCTTAATTTTAAGCACACATTTAAAAAATATATTATTTTTCACTTCAATTACTTATTATTTATTTTTTAAAAATAAATCTTTTATTTCCTTTTTAGAATATTCTACTCACTATTTATTCTATTTAGGTTAAATTTCTTGTTGAATAAATTCCTTTATACATCAAATGTAGAATTAAATGCTCTGAATATGCCGAAGCATGAGGCTGTCCCATATCTTCAACCCTCTTGCTCTTCATTGCCTTTTCTCTGGCCCTCCATGAACAGGGATCCGTAAGAATTAACCGAAGCAACCTTAGATACTCCTCAATTGCTCCCAGAATAACAGATTTTTTTTTCACAGAAAATCAAACGAGGAAGAACAGTTATGGCGCGAAGCAGTATTAATAGGAGAAAAATTGATACGGAGAACAAGGCGGGAGCATTCTTCTTGGCGACTTTAGTGATGTGGGGTGTCTCAGTTTTCTTCGAAATTGTCTTCAATAAGCGAATTGAGCTTGTTCCAATTCTTCTGGGCTTCGTTTTCTTCCAATTAGCCAACTGGGTCGTCCGCAATTTTATCTCGCGTGATCCTCTTTTTGTTAACACGTGTGTTTCTCTCCTCCATTCATCCATTACTTCTGCTTCTGGTCAGCTTCACATCTCCTCTTTCGATAATTTTTATTTGTCTGATTGAATTTTTTGGGATTATTTGGCGTATTCCGTAATGAGGTTTTGTGGTTTTGCCGCCTCTTCGTATGAATTCATCGATGGTTTGGAGAATTTGTTGCGCAAGAAAGTGTTTGGATTTAGAATATTAGTTATATTTGAATTATCTGCCAATTGACAAAAAAAAAAAAAAAGAAGAGNNNAAAAAAAAAAAAAAAGAAGAGGTTTTTATCTTTATGTTTGCTTGTTGATTTAACTGAATTGGATTACTTTTATTTTGTTTTCCTTAGAATAATGCTAGCATATTCTTGAATATATTCGAATTTTCCTACAGATTTAGTTTTTTAATTGAGTTATTATGCTTCTGAGAGAGAATGTACATGTAGGTGAACCCCCCCCCCCCCCCCCCCCCCCCCCCCCCCCCC